GATCTGCCGCAAGACCTGGCGGCATAGCGGCGGCGCGAGCGCCCAGCCGCCTCCCCTGGTGGTGTAGAAGCGGCGCCCAGCCGGGGGGACTCCGGGGCCGCTGCAGGGTAGCACGGGGGTGGGAGGCGTCAGCCCTGCCCCCCCGAGCCAGCGCCCGGGGTGCCAGTCTGGCCGTCCTTGTCCTTCTTGTTGTACTTGAGCTTCTCACTGTGGTCGGCGCCGATCGTCTGGCCAGCGCCGCCGCCGCCGCCGCCGCCGCCCAGGGACGCCGCCGCCAGAGCCCGCTCCTCGTGGCCCTTGCGGCGCTCCCTGAGCTCGGCAGCCTGCTCCTCCATGCGCTTCGCCACCCAGCGCTCCAACTCGGGCGAGGTGAGCGCGTAGCCCTTGGCACGGTCGCCGCCGAGAACCAGGTGCCTCTCGGCCGCGAGCCCCGCCGCCACCGCGCCCTCGCTGGAGGCGCGGCTCCGCTCCTGGCACCGCTCCTCCCGGGGCTGGTAGCCGCGGGACATGCTCTCACAGCAGGCCAAGATGCAGATGTTGTCCTGGTCGCACGGCTGCCCGTGCAGGATGCACTCCGAGAGGAAGAGGTGCACGTCGATCCCTGGGCCCGATGATGTCGCCCCCAGCGCTTGTCTCCACCAATGGTCACGCGGCACCGAACCCATGCCGCTCTTGGCGGAGGCCTCGATGAGCCACTGCACAGTGCGGGGGCCCTCCAGTGGCCAGGCGTCGTCCAGGACCTCCTCGCGCAGCAGGTGGTGCGCGGACTCGAGGCTGCGGGTGCGCCCCCCGAGTACATTGTACTCGACCGCCAGTGTGCGAAAGTCCTCCGCCGCGTCCGCCACGCCCTCGTCAGCTGGCAACGGCATCGGCGGGTCGCGGCACAGGCGGTACCACGCCCCCTCACGGCACAGCAAAGCCTGGCCCGAGGCGCCGACGGCGATACCCGAGTCGCGGATGGTGACGCCCTCGCCGCGCCTGCGGGGGCCCTGGTCCTCGCCGACGAACCACTCCCCGCCCACGATGCCGGTGTGGGCAGCCAGCGAGCCGGAGTCGTAGAAAGCGGGGTCCACGTCAGCAGCAGGCACCAGCGCGCCAGCCGCGCAGGCGGGCGCAACGCCGGTGTCGGCGATAGGCGCGGGCCCCCGCCCACCTCCAACGGCAGCTCGAGGTGTGGAAACCCAGTCAGCCAGGTAGGCTTCGGCCCGCCGGCGGAAGGCGCTGGCGTCGGCGATGTCCCCAGGGCCGAAGGCGTAGCGGAGTGACTTGTGCCCAGAGAAGCGGTTCGGGATGCCGCCAGCAACAACACTAGGCAGCGCATCCTCGTAGTCCTCCAGTAGCTCCTCGTACGCGTCGCCGTCCGGCGTGAGCACCACGTGGCCGCCTGAAGTGCGGCGAGGGGCGAGGCGTTCGTGCCAGACCCCCTCCGACGAGTCGAACGGGGCCCTGAAGCGGCGCCCCGCTGCCACAGAGCGGCCATCTGCCATCAGGCGAGCGGAGGAGCTCCGACCTCGCCTGCCGCGCGCCCCTGCAGGCAGTGTCAGCTGCCTGGTCGTCTCCAGGCCCGTGGTCACCACGAGCGGAGCCGTCGGCCGAGGCGGCGTCCACCAGCGGGCTGCCCCCCAGCCCGTCACGAGCTGCCCCACCACGACGGCGAGCAGCTGGGCGGTGGACCAGCCAGGGGATCCACAACCGCACTGGCAGCCGCAGATGGGCGCGGGTGGCGCGGACCGCACCAGCAGGCAGACGGGGCCGATGGAGAATGCGCAGGGGACAGTGGACGGGTCGACCGGCATCCTAGACCGGACAGAAAAAGGCTTGAGATTCAGTGTCCATGGCGATCGTCAACATTACCATTGACATTAGCAGGGGACTATGTTTTGAATATGTTTTGACCTTTTGGGGCATTTTTTGCGTATTTTTGAGTTTCCGTCGAAAATCCCCCTGTAGGGGGACACGCCCGACATAATCATAGTGCCCCCGACTCCCAGCTGCCGAAAGCGTGCCCCCGCCCGGGGGGGGGCGGCGGCGGGCCCCCGCCGTGGTCGTCGTTCCCCCTCCAGGGTCGGCGGCACCGGCCGCCAGGCCATGGCAACAAGCTGCAAGATGCCCCCGACGCCCTGCTGCTTACACCGTGCCCCCACCCCAGATGCGGCGGCGGCGGGCACGTGCGAAGGGAAATACATACAAAATCCCAGGATTCCCAATTGTTTCCCCCTATTTTCTGGATGTTCGTCTTCCCCACCACTTCCATACTTTCCCATACTTTCCTGGGGGTCGACGATTTTTGTTTTTTTTGTGTGTGTGTGTGTGTTGTGTGTGTGTGCGTGTGTGTGTTTGTGAGTGTGTGTGAGTGTGTGTGTGTGTGTGTGTGCGTGTGCGTGTGCGTGTGCGCGTGCGTGTGCGTGTGTGTGTGTGTGTGTGTGTGTGTGCGTGTGCGTGTGCGTGTGTGTGTGTGTGTGTGTGTGCGTGTGCGTGTGCGTGTGCGTGTGCGCGTGCGGTGCGCGTGTGTGTGTGTGTGTGTGCGTGTGTGTGTGTGTGTGTGTGTGTGTGTGCGTGCGTGTGCGTGTGCGCGTGCGTGTGCGCGTGTGTGTGTGTGTGTGTGTGTGGTGTGTGTGTGTGTGTGTGTGTGTGTGTGTGTGTGTGTGTGTGTGTGTGTGTGTGTGTGTGTGTGTGTGTGTGTGTGTGTGAGTGCGTGTGCGTGTGCGTGTGTGTGTGTGTGCGTGTGCGTGTGCGTGTGTGTGTGTGCGTGTGTGTGTGCGTGTGCGTGTGCGTGTGTGTGTGTGTGTGTGTGCGTGTTTGTGTTGCTTCCCCTCCCGAGCATGCTCCGCACCGCCGCCCGCGGAGCCCGGCGAGCGGCAGGCTCTGGCGTCCCGGCGACGGGGCCTCTGGAAGCCTGGGGGAAGAACAGGCCAGAGCCCGTGGAGCCTCCCCCTAAAGTTCTCCGGGTGCGCGACACAGTCCAAACGTGTATTGAGGAGGGGTGATGAGGACGCAGGACCCTTGGAGGCCGAAGTTGGGTTTTTGAGGGCGGCGGGCGGCCAGTGATAATGGCAAGGGCGGGCCTCAGAGGCAGGGACACAAGGGTACCCTAGATGAAGGTGCGCGTCCTTACTAGGCGCGTTGACTGTAGTCGACCCTGGCACAAAGAAACATGGCTACCCATCTTCGGCACAGATTGACAACCCGCTGTCACTAGACTGCTGCGCATGAGCCACGTACGTCCACATCGCAGAGCGGGGGCGTGGGCGGAACAAGCAAAAGGCAAAAGCTCGTCGAGCCTCCCCCCCTTCCCTCATGAAGCCTCGTCTGTATCGGGGGGGGGGGTAGTGACCGAGAGCGTGCCCGAAAATCTGCCAGAGTGTGACAAAAGCCGGCGCCAAAATTGTTCCGACCGCACTAGAGTACGATCGAATTCTTGGTTCGAAACCAAGACGTTGTTCACTTCGGACAGAACTTCGATCACACTACGCTGTCGGTCACAAGTTCGGGTACGCTTTCGGTCACCACTTGTTGTCGGTGGCATGTTTCCCAACACTCCTGCGTTCGATTCTTGTTTTGAATAGAAGACCGCCCGCACGTCTTCTCCCTCCCGCCTACCTGCGTCTCTCTTCCCTCCTACGTCCTGCGAAGATTCAGATTAGACCTCACCAACCCTGGGGGCTGCGATCTGCGAAGCTGTGTTCACTTTGGAGGGCTGCTTGTGGGTCCTGCATAGTGCAGCCCTACGCAGATTCGTGTTAGACCTCGCCATCCCTGAGAGACTGCGCTCTGCGAAACTGTCGCCACTGTGGAGGGCTGCTGGAGGGTCCTGCATAGTGAAGCCCCCCGCAGAGTCAGATTAGACCTCACCATCCCTGGGGGGGCCGCGATCTGCGAAACGGTTGCAACATTCGAGGGCTGCTGGGGGGCCCAGCATAATGACATCATACGCAGATGCAAATTCGACCTCGACATCCATGGGGGCTGCGAACTGCGAAGTTGTCGCCGCTGTTAGACCTCACCATCCCTGGGGACTGCGATCTACGAAACTTTCGCCATTTGGAGGGCTGCTTGGGGGTCCACATAGTGACGCCCTACGCAGACTCAAATTAGCTCTCACCATCCCTGGGGGAGGCTGCGATCTGCGAAACTGTCGCCACTCTCGAATCAGAGTGCACCCTGGGAGAGGTCAAGAAAGAGGAGGAGAAGACCACATCAAGGAGCACGCCAGGCAGCCTAGGCGGGCAGGAGGAGGGAGGAGGAGGAGGCGGCGGATGAAGAGATAAACAAGCATGGGGCATGCATTGGCCTGCCTCCGAAAGAGGCAGACCCGATAAGACAAGGCTGAAGCAGCCTCATGCAAAGAAAACGCTGTTCTGGGCGCATGCACTCCCCACGCACCCGAGCGTGAAGCACGCCTGGAACAGGGCCAACACTTTCGGAAAGGCTCCGGCACGCGACCACACAGTGCGGCATTTCTTCCCCAGTCAGAGGAGCAACAAAAAGAAGGAACAGGAGGAAAAGCTACGAACAAGCGTGACATAGGAGATGGAGGGAGGAGGAGGAGGAGGAGGAGGAGGAGGAGGAGGAGGATCAGCAGGAGGATGAGAAAGAGAGAGAGAGAGAGAGATCAGCAGAAACAAATAAGGAACAAGGAGGAGGAGGAGGCGAGACGGAGGAGATGCGGAGGCGAAACGGAGGAGGAGGCGAGACGGAGGAGGAGGAGAAGGAGGCGAGACGGAGGAGGGAGGAGGGGGAAATGGAGGAGGGATTGGGGAGGAGCAGCAACTAGGCCAAGCAAAGAGCATGTGGGAAACGGGCCCTGAGGGAAACGGGTCCTGGGCGGGCCTGAGCCCCGGCGCCTTCCGCCAGGACCACTTGTTCATCCCGAGGCGTTCGCTGACGCTCCTCGGGCCCGTGGAGGGCCCCGGGAAGCCAAAAACATCAGGATCTGTTGCCCCTCAGGACCCGCTTCCTCCATGGCGAGAGAAGGGTGGATAGAGAGATCCCCAGGGCGCCGGTTGCGGGTACGGGATAATCCCCACCGCCGCCGCCGCCGCGCTGGCCGGCTTCAGCGCCGACGGCACGCTCGGGAGCGCGGGGGGCGCGGGCCTTCGGCGGGCGCGCCGCCCGCTGCCAGAGTCGAGCAGGTCGCGCAGTCGGAGGGGCGAGGGGAGAGTAGTCGAGTCCCCGTCCTCCTCCTCCCTCCTCCTCCTCCTCCTCCTCCTCCTCCTCCTCCTCCTCCTCCTCCTCCTCCTCCTCCTCCTCCTCCTCCTCTCCTCCTCCTCCTCCTCCTCCTCCTCCTCCTCCTCCTCCTCCTCCTTTGCCTCCTCCTCCTTCTCATGTGACTCCTCATCCTACACCTCCTCCTCCTCCCCCGCCTGCTCCTCCGACCCCTCCTCCTCCTTCTCCTCCTCCTCCTCCTCCGCCTCCTCAACCTTCTTCTCCTCCTCTGTCTGCTTCTTCTCCTCCTCCTCCTTCTCCTCCTCCTTTTCCTCCCCCTTGTCCTCCCCCTTTTCCTCCTCCTCCTCCTTTTCCTCCTCCTCCTCCTTCTCCTCCTCCTCCTCCTCCTCCTCCTCCTCCTCATCCTCCTCATCATCCGCCTCCTCACCGTGTTCGACACCCTTCTGGCGTTGGTGGACGGAACGGAACTCCGCAACGACGCCCTCGACCTGGTCCTGCGGAGCAGTGGCACCGAGCAGGGGCAGAGTGCGTGGTTTCCTGGACTGGCTTTTATGCCCATGGTATTCTTCGTGGGTGCTACGGCGGACGCACCGCCTTACCTGGTAAAGTTCTTCCTCCAGCGAGGCATCTGGGAGGTAAGTCGCACTACATCGGTAAGACCCAGCTTGAACGCCTTCGTCGACGAAGGGCTGCTCGTGAAAGCTGGAATGCCTTTCAATAATACTGGTCGTCGCCCGTGTCGTTGCGCTCGAGTCGTAAAGGTTGTCGTGGCCAAGTCGTGGAGACGCCGTGGGCTGGCATGGACTTACGTGTTCTGACTGAGCCTGCTTTCCAAACTTTCGACGCCTCCATTCTCAGTTCCACCCGCAAGCTCATGCGAGGTCAAGCGCGCACGAAGGCAGAGCAGGCCGACGGCACCATCAAGCACGAGGCACCACCAGATCAAGAAGTCTGGCGAGCGCGTGGATTCGCTCATGCCAAGACGAAGCTGCGCGCACGACGCCTTCAATGTTGGAAGCGGGTGCCGTCGGCGCCCTCGGATCACGTCGCCAATATCGCTGCTTTGTGTTGACCCTTGGGTTGCGAGTCCAAGAACCTTGTGGGCGACGATGGGCGACCTCGTGCAAATGCTTATCCATGAATCCGACAATTCATGGGACGATCTGGACAACCTACTTGACCAGGATAAAAAAACGCGTCCATTGCCGAATATTGTGATCGGCGACCCTTACGATTGTTTCGAACACCTCTGCGTGGAAGTGTTCTGCAATGCAACTTGTTTGTACTACGGGCCGCGTTTCTCTCCGTGGCGATCCTGCCGCCGATGTGGGCGCCGTTGCGGCGGTGCGAGCTCCTGTTGATGAGCCTCACGTGTACGACTTTGTGCTACCTCTGGCGAGGCGTGCGGAGCCATGTTCTCCACTTCTGCTGGTCTGCCGCTGCATGCACGCAAAGTGCATCACGAACAAAAGCTAATCAACATACGCATCATCACCAGCAGAACGTCGTTCAGCATTCAGCAGCGTTCGCGTTGCCCGCCGAGATGTTGCTCGAGCAGCGCATGTCTCCAAATGTAGTGGTTATCGAAACGTCTCGCCGATCGAGACCGCCACGCCCGCCGACCTGTCGCGCACGTGCTGTGTGTTCGAAGCCCGACAGTGGACGAGTTCCATGGACAGTGTACCACTCGTGCTGCTGGACCTTTCATTGACGTGCTTGATCGATGATGCACACGGCTGTCTAGCCGCTCATCCGACCCATCCCCATCCTCAACATCAACATAGTGTCGACGCCGCCGACTCCGCCATTACGACGACGACACAGCCGACGCCGCCATTACGACACCGACGCCTCTGGCACGACACCACCACCGTAAGGATGTCGCCGCCGACGCCGCTGCTACATCGACGCCGCCGTCGCGACGTGGCCACCACTACGACGCCGACCCCGCCGACACCGCCGTTACGACACCGACACCGCCATCACGACGACACCGCCGTTACGACACCGACACTGCCTCCACGACGATCTGGTGTGCTGTTTTCCGGGTCCGTGGTCGCGGCATTGTCTCCGCGGGTGCGAGGGGGTCAAACTTGTGCCACCACTTTGGGTATGCCGCCCCTACTCCGGCATCCCTGTAGCGGGATGTGCGCCTGGCAGCTCGGCGTCGCTGGCGAGTGAGCCCCTGCCATGGGCGCGACGCGTCGCGCCGTGGCGGTGGGGGGCCATCCGCATTGCGAAGCTCTGTCAGCTGGTTGCCAGGCTCAGCTTGAAAAACGCCCAGGACATGCGCGCAGTCCAAGCCGCCCTGCTCAAGAGGATCATGTTCAAGCGCGACATCGTGATCGCTGATGCTGCCCTGGAAGAAATGAAATCCTATGCCGACGGCGCTAAAGAGATGCAGCCTGTGAATCCGCCAGCTGTGTACATCTGGGCAGCTATCAACCATGCTGCGGCCGCCGCTGAGGGCCTCGAAGAGGCTCACAAGAACGCTATCATCACGCACCGGCAGCAGGTGACGGACCCAGCTCACCTGAAGGGTACTATTCACCGCGCAAAGACGGCCACAGCGCTCGACAAGAATAAGGTCAAGCTTCATCCCGCTGCGCACGCTTCTACTGAGCCTGTGGGCAAAACTATCTTGCGCGCTGACTGGCCATCGCTCGGACGTCCATTCCCTGTGTTTTTGTTTGGTATCGTGCGTGTTTTTTCGCCAAATGATCAAGGATGCTCCTCGATGGTCCTCGCCGAAGGAAAAATGCACACGTCCGAGCGATGCCAAGGCTGGTCAATTATCCAGCGGCCGCCAGATGTACGGGCAGGCGCCCACAGGAGGCCTCGAGAGGGACACTGAGTGCTTGCTCGAGCAGCTGGGAGCGATGGTTTCCGATGGCGATGAACTCATGGAAGGGGCAGCGCATGAATTGCTTGCTGCCCGAGTCGAACCCTGGGTCTTCTCGCTGTGCGCCGATCCGCCTTTCAAGATCTACGAGAACCACTTCGTCAAGGCGGGGCGCATGTGAGGGGACCGTCGGGGGTCCTCCCGTTCACTAGGTGGAAAGGGGCAGCGTGCGTTGCCGCGAGATGAACTGCGGGGTAGGCTCTGCTTAGGATCGAATTCGACATTCGAATTGTGATGCGGGCATGGGGGAGGTCCTTCAGACAGACGGTAACCGTAATCTCTTCCTCCTTCCTCTTCCTCTTCCTCGTCCTCTTCCTCCTCCTCCCCCTCCTCCTCTCCTCCTCCTCCTCGGTATCCTGCCATTCGTCGTCCTCCTCCTCCTCCTTCTCCTCCTGCTTCTCGTACCCCTCTCCTCCTCCTGATCCTCGTCCTCGTCCTTGTTCCTCCTCCTCCTCCTCCTCCTCCTCCTTCTCCTTCCTCCTCCCCCTCTTCCTCCTTCTCCTCCTCCTCGTCCTCCGCGTCCTCCTTGTGTTGCTGCTGCTGTTGCAAATGGTTTTCGAATCGGAAACGACGCAGCCGTGCCCTCCTCCTCCTCCTCATCCTCTTCCTCGTCCCCCTTCTCCCCGGCCTCCACATCATGCGGGGGATGGGGGGAGATGAAGGATGAGGCCCGGAAAAGGGAGAAGGAAAGGGGAGAACGGGAACTGGGAAAAGACTACTTCCTTCTCCTCCTCCTCCTGGGACTCCTCCTCCTCCTCCTCCACCTTCATCACCCCATCTCCATCACCATCACCGTCACCGTCATCATCATCATCATCATCATCATCATCATCATCATCATCATCATCATCAGCATCATCATCATCATCAGCATCAGCATCAGCATCAGCATCATCAGCAGCAGAAGCAGCACCACGCCTAAGGCATGAACAGCAGCATCATCACAACCACACTCAGCATCATTATCATCATTACCATCATCATCAGCATCATCATCATCATCATCATCATCATCATCATCATCATCATCATCATCATCAGCATCGTCATCATCATCACCATCATAAGCAGCAGCATGAGCATCATAATCATCAGCAGCAACATCAGCATCACCACCACCAGCATCACAATCAGCATCGCAACCAGCATCATAATCATCGTAAGCACCACCACGACCACCATCATCATCATCGTCATCGTCATCAGCATCATCATCAGTATCGTCATCACCATCATCATCACCATCATCACCATCATCAACAGCAGCACCATCACCACCGTCACACTTACCAGCATCACACCAATCATCGTCATCATCGGCATCATCATCGTCATCCACATCCGCATCAACATCATCATCATCATCATCATCATCAGCATCATCATCAGCATCATCGTCAGCACAATCGTCGGCATCATCACCAACATGATCATCATCAACATCACCATCATCATCAGAACCAACATGATCATCAGTACCGTCGTCATCATCATCATCATCATTATCATCATCAGCATCGTCGTTGTCATCAGCATCATGAGAAGCATCACCATCGTCAGCAGGATCATCATCAGCATCGTGATCATCATCGCCATCATAATCATAATCGTCAACATCAGCAACATCATCAGCATCAGCAGCCAGAAGCATCAGCACCAGCACCAGCAACAACACCAGCATCAGCATCATCATCATCATCATCATCATCACCATCATCGTAAACGTCAGCAGCAGCATCAACATCAGCATCATCATCAACATCATCATTGTCAGCAGCAGTAGCAGCCGCATCTCATCAGCATAATCATCAGCATCAGTGACAACTTCATCACCATCAGCATCGTCATCATCACCATCATCATCAAAATCATCATCATCATCATCATCAACATCAACATCATCATCATCATCATCATCATCAGCGGCAACAACAACAGCATCATTGCTCCGGGTAGTCTCTTCCTCCTCCTTCCCAGATGCACTCCCGGGGCGTCGTCCAGCCCGCTCTCTCTCTCTCTCTGTCTCTCTCTCTTTCTCTCTCTCTCTCTCTCTCTCTCTCTCCTCTCTCTCACACACACAGCTCTCGCGGGGGGAGGGGGGGGCGGAAGGTGGACAATGAAGGCAGGGCAAGGCGATCGGAAGTCATGCGGAGTGACTGGCAATCCGCAGTGGCCTCCACGGGGCAACATGGAAACTTGGCACCCGTAGTACCTGACGCGAACGAGAGGCAACCGAGGGGGTAGAAGGAAACGGAGGGCGGAGGGGGGCAGGAGGAAGGAGGAAGAGAGCGAGGACGAGGACGAGGACAAAGACGACAAGAGAGGCCGACGAGGGAAGAGGATGAGGACGAGGGATGACAACGGGAGGAAAAGATTACGAGAGAGGAGGAGGAACGATCTGAAGAGCTAATATTGAATTGTGAATCCTCCTTCTACTCCTCGTGCCTCCTCCTCCCCCTCCTCGTGCCTTCTCCAACTCGTGACTCCTCCTCTTCCACCTCCTCCTCCTCCTCCTCCTCCTCCTCCTCCTCCTTCTCTCCCTCCTCCTCCATCTAAATATGTATGCCCGCGTTGAGACACTCCAGCATGGATGTTTTCGAGTGTTTTACGGGAATGAGGAAGACGTGTTGAGCGTCCAAGGGCGCTCTCTCCTGGATGCGACTGGATCCGCTTCGAAACTCTGGTCAGAGGGCGCCACGGGACGGGTCTGGGGGATCGTCATCGTTCCCGCCGCCGTCTTTGTCGTCGCCATGATTAACATTAAGCGTCGACGTCATGGTCGTCGTCGTCGTCGTCGTCGCCGTTTGTCATCGTCTGTCGTCGTCGATCGTCGACGTCCCCGTTGCCGGTTCGTTGACCGCTCAGCGCCGATCCGAAGGACCAGAGAACCTCCGAAAAATTCAGGCTTAATAATCAGGAGGGAAAAGAAACACAGACACACTTAATCGTCGATTCCCAAGAAAATATGAGAAAATACGGGGACTGGGGGGGAAGACAAAAACCTAGAACGTATGGGAAAATATGGGGGATCTTTTTATTTGTGTCTATCTATTTGTGTGTCCCAGGGCCCCTTCAAATAAGAGGGACAAGGGTCCCGATGCCGCTACTCCTCGGACTTTTCCTGGGACCGAGAATCCGCAGCGAATCCAACTGTGGCGACAAGGGCCTTCCACAAATGGGGCAGCCGGAACAATTCTCTCCACTGAGCTGATGCGCTTGTGCCAGAACGCCCAACACACGATCGATCCTCAATAGACCGACCGACCATCCACAAACTGATCTATCCTCGATCGACCGATAGATCCTCGACCGATGATCGGGGACGCACTGACCTGGGTCAATCCAAACCCGGGTCAGTCGGGCTTTGCAGGATCCTGCAGGATCCTGCAAGATCTTGCAGGATCCTGCACCCAAACCCGAGTCAGTGCACCCCTGGCTCTGAGGGCTCCTGCAAGGTCTGGCGCTCTGACTTACCCCCGTTTGCATTGACCCCCATCCCTGGAGCCTCGAGCTTGAAGGTAAATCGAGAATCTCTGAGATCCTGCGATCCTGAAAGATACAATGGGCGCCGCGGCCTTCTCAGAGCGTTGCGGAACGCTCTGAAGGCGCTCGGGGACGCTGTGGAATGGATTCGTCCCTGTCCTGGCCCCGTTCGACGATCCTCGATCGACCGATCGATCCTCGATCGACCGTTCCTGGCTCGACGTCGACGGACCTCCGAAAGTGCATAATTGAAGGGGCCCTGGGACACACAAATAAATTGACACAAATACCGATATCCCCTATATCTTGGGTGGTGTGTTCTGGGTTCTTGCCGTCCCCCCCCCCACTTCCGATAGTTTCCCGCATTCTCCTGGGAATCGACGATTCATTGTGTCTGCGTGTGTTTTCCCCTCCTGAATAATTTGAGCACGAACCGACCGTCCCGGCATTCCTATAGTCCTACCACGAAATGTTCTTAGAACCCAAAAATGTTCTAAGAACAAAAGCAATGTTCGTTGAACATAAACCCGATGTGGTAAAACAAGACAGTCCCAGCCAGAAGTGTTCTGAGAACATTTCGTGGGAACGTCAAAAGGTTCTTACTTAGAACATTGTTTGTTAGGGCTACAGGCGAGCCAGGACGCTTCGCCAATGCTTGAACAATCACGCCGACGCTTCTCTTCTGCGATGGGCGGCGAGCCGGGCCGCGGGTGCCCCCGCGGCGGCACCTCTGGGCCGGGAGCCTCGACGACATCCTCGACCCGCGGCCTCGATCGCGAGCCTCGTCCACCTCCCCCCCTCCTCCTCCTCCTGCTCCACCCTCCTCCTCCTCCTCCTCCTTCTCCTCCTCCTCTTCCTCCTCCCCCTCCTTCTCCTCCTCCTCCTCTTCCTCGTCCTCGTCCTCCTCCTCCTCCTCCCTCCTCCTCCTCCCTCCTCCTCCTCCTTCTCCTCCTCCTCCTGCTCCTCCTCCTCGTCCTCCTCCTCCTCCTTTCTCCTCCTCCTCTTGCTCCTCCTCCTCCTCCTCCCCGTCCTCGTCCTCCTCCTCCTTTCTCCTCCTCCTCCTCCTCCTCCTACACTCCACCATCGCTGGTCTCGATCGCCGGAATCGATCGACGGCCATCCTCGCTCGACCGACCGGTCCTCGACGACCCCGCTCGAGGACGACGCCGAGCGGCCCCCCCCCCAGTCGGTGAGGAGGAGGAGGAGCAGGAGGAGGAGGATGAAAGATGGGGCCCCGAGGACCGGGGTCCCTGAGGACGGGGTGCCTCCAGCAGCGTAGAGCCACCCCGGGACCCCTTCCTGTCCGTAGGTCCCTATCCTCAGGGCCCCACCTCTGAACGCCGACCCTGGGCCCAGGACCGTCAGCCAACCTCAACCCAACGAGTGGGTCGGGCATGTCGCCCTACAGGCGGTTGTTGGAAGATGAACTGAGAAACAGTCCAAACAGATTCATCACACATTGGAAAGCAGTCGGACAAATCGTAGGAGGCCTACTTTCTGCTGTTTCTGAACACTCCTCCTGCAGAAGGACATGCACGACTTCGGGGTCGATCCTCGACCGATCGATAGACCGACGGCGACGCTGTGGGACCGCGGCCCCGCCGTTGGCCGAGGGTCGGGGTTGCAGGCCTGGAGGCTGTCACCAACACCAAGCTCGGCAGTGTGCCTCCACCGAGGGCGAGGGTCGAGGAGACGGTGACGGAGGGGGAGGAGGAGGAGGAGGAGGAGGAGGAGGAGGAGGAGGAGGAGGAGGAGGAGGAGGAGGAGGTCCCCCCCACCTTCACCGATCTCCGTGATGGTGGTAACATTCTGGCTTCCAAGGTGGACCAAAGATTACGACCACCACCGACATCTGGGATCATCTCCTCCCTGTGGAGGCAACCCCCTGTGTTGGTGTTGGTGCTGATCTCCAAGCCTCCAACAGGGGGGCCGTGCCCGATCCACCGATCGGTCCTCGACCGATTGACCGGCCGATCGATCGACTGTTTTGGAGCCGGCGGCAGGCCCTCGGCTGGGGTGCACTCTCGGGGGCTTGTTTTCCACCACCACCACCATGAGTAGGAGGAGGAGGGGGTCCTCCTCCTCCTCTTCTTCTTCCTCCTCCTCCTCCTCCTCCACATCCTTCCCCCCTCCAACTTATGGTGGTGGTGGTGGAAAACAGGCCCACCACACTCCGGGGGCTGCTTCTGGGCGCTGCATTGCAGTCGGGCCAGGTGGCTCCCGAGAAGCTCCACAGCGTTGTGAGAAGTACAATCGAAATCCATGGTGAGGACGCCAAGTGCGGACGCAAGACCCGTGTAGGTTCTATCTGGAGCTCCCTGGAAATCAAAACTTGCTCGTGACGGGCCGCGGAAGCAGGGATGCAAGGGCAGTCTCAATGAAGCGGCGCATCCTCCCTATGCATTTGACTGTAACGTGGCCGCAAAACAACCTCGCAAGAATCCCAGCCCTGAAACCCGCAAACGCGAGATGCAAGTGGGGGGAGCCCAGAGCACCTTGAACGGACCAGTTCCTTCAGCGGTTTCGGGAAGCCACCGCGCAGCGCGCGGAGCGGAGAACCTCAGGGTACCCCGACGAGAAGCATCCAGTTTCTTCCTGCGCACCCCCACTGTGGCCAGAAAGTCCAAGGGGCCATGCTAGATCGACCGATCGGTCCTCGATCGATCGATCGACGGCGACGCTGCGGGGCCTCAGGGCGGCGCCGCCGCCCGGCCGCTTGCCCGCGGGCTGCCCCTGCCACCTGCCGCGGGGCCGAGCGGCGCGGGCGCACGGCCGACGACGCCGACGACGACGGTGAGGGGCACGCCGACGCTGCCGCCGGCGACGCCGTCGCCGACTCCGACGACGACGGGGGAGGCACGCCCACACCGGCGGCGGCGCCGCCGCCAATTCCGTGGAGGGGCGAGGGAGCCGAGGAAACAGCCAGCAGGAGGCCGAGCATGGCGCCCACGGGAACGGCCTGGGCGGCAGCAGCGTGGCGCCGAGCGGCGGCGGCGACGGCGGCGGCAAAGACGCCGGCAGCAAGAGCGCCAGCGGCAGCGACGACGGCGGCAGCGACGGCGGCGGCGAAGCGGCGCCGAAGGGGGCGACGGCAGCGGTGATCGTTGCGACGGCGGCGCCAACGACGCCTGCGCCAACGACGCCAGCTGTAGCAACAGAGGCCCTCAATGATGTTTCCCACGTGAGCCAAAAAGTCGGTCACGGTTGGATATTATGTGAACACTCTCAAAAGAGAAAGGCGCCGACCTTGACGACGGCGGCTGGCGCCCGGCGGATGCGCACATTCCCCGCTGGCGGAAGGGCGCCGCGGCGGCCCTTGACTTCGCGGTCACGGCCTGGCGGCGCGAAGAGCAAACAACGTATCTTCCTCGACGGCGAGCGCAGCTGTGCCGCGACATGAAGGCTCGACCCGTGGTCGACGACATTGAAGTTGGGATGAATCACGCCGAACAGGTCACTGTGAAAGCCGCTGCCCGACCACATGGCCACACCGAAACACGCGGGAGAGGGCCCAACTCCCAGCGCAGCCCCGAACGCCGTCTCTCTTCGCGCTCAGAGCGCCGAGATCTATTTCGCGCCAAACGAGGGACGCCTCTCGACTCCTCCGGCTCTCGGCGCGCGCGATAGAAGGCGCGGGCGTCGGGAAGGCCAATTTCGACGCGCATCTTGTAAATCAACCGGCTTTCTTCCTTCGTCGGGGGAGTCGGGATTTTCGGCGCCCCTCGGGAATCTGACCTTCTGGGCGTCGGCCTCGTCTCCGCTGTCGTCGTCCGACACTGCTTCCTCTGCTTCCGCCTTGCCCGCGAGCGGTCCGCCTCGGCCGCTTCCGCCAGGGGCGCAGTCTGCGACAGCTCCGCCCATGTCGCCCCCCTCTCGTCGCGAGTCCCGCCCCAGACTGCAGTCGCCGCCTGAGCCACGAGCCGGCAGAAGCCCAACGGGCACCGAGCAGCCCGAGGAGCCCGGGCTCTCCACGCCTTCGCGGCGCGACCGGCGCCCCCCCGCGCGCGACCGCGCGTCGGAGGCCCCGAGCCGTCCGGGATGACCGGCGACGATTCCGCTCGGCTTCTGCTTGCCCCCCCGAGCGCCGATCTGCGCCCCGAAGCGAGGCGCGCCCGCCCGCGCTGTCGATGGGCCCCTGGGGGGGGGGGCGCGACCACGCCCGCGCCCATAGAAGACCCCAGAGTTGGCGCGGATGCAGCGGGTGCTCGAAGGCGAAGAAACGACCGCGATCGCGCCGATAGATAATGAACCCCGCGAGAGCGCACGGTCTCGGCGACCCCCCTGGACTTCCTGCCTCCACTGACCGGGGGCCCGACGATGCCCACTCACTCGAACGATCGCTGAAAATCCTCGGCGCTCGGAACGCCACCGAACAATCCTGGGATCCCCGCGCCAAGTCTGATCCCAGCATTCCACGACATAGTAGACCCGAGAATCCGACCCCCACTCGCCTCGGCCCCTATGGGCCCCCCGCCGCGTCGCTGCACCTCGGGCGCGATGCGGGGGGGGGGGGCGAAAGGATATGCAGAAACGTTGTCTGCGCTCTCCTACAGGGGCTCTCAATGTGTGTCTCTGGGTGGCTGGCGTCACTGGACGGCCCCGGCGCGCCTGCGCCTTGCTCGATGGCCCGGCGAATCTGGCTTGACCAGACGGCCCCATGATCGCCGCCGCGCAGATCTTCGCCCATTCAGTCTTCCTGAACACGAGAGTGCAAGGATCTCAGACTAGCTCCAGCTCCCATTGGCAGCTCACGTCCGATGGGGTCGCGGTGGTCTCCGTCGTCGTGGGAGGCGCCTGCGGCATGGCCGCGGCAATAATCGCTTCGGACCTGCCGGGGCCACCGCTGCCAGGGGCGCCCCCGTGCCGCTCGAGCTGCTGGATGCCCCCCTCAGATTCTCCGCTGATCGCCGCCGTCGCCAGCGCCGTCGCTGCCGCGCCCACGATCGGGTGGACCAGCTGGTTGGCGGGCCCCTGAGGCGCGCGCGCGCGCGCGCTGCAAGAGTCTAGGGCTGTCTGGGGGGAGCCCTGGGCCCCCTCGAACTCGCGCCCGACGGATGCCGGCGAGACCGCGATGGACACGTTGCAAACCTTGAATATTGAGCGGGGTGGGTCTGAATGCTCGCGACGCACGCGTTGGGGGGGCCCGCGCGCCGCCCCATGCTCGAACGCCTTCGGGCGCCGCTCGCTAGTTGCAGCTTCGTCCACTGTAGAAACAGCAGGTTCGCATTCAGGCCGTTGGCCGCGATGAGCGCCGCCGCTCCTCGGGCTAAACCGCAGTCTCGCCATGGGCTCTCGACCGCCTGCCGCGGCGACGAGGCCGCCGATCTGGGTCGGTCGCTGCAGGGAATGGCCGCCGATGGAAGGCCGCCCGCTGGAATCCAAGCGATCCGTTCCTCGCGGGCAGCGCGCTTCGACCCACCCCCAAACCGCTGGTCGCCGCCGATCCGGGCGCCCTTGCGCAGACAACCGCAGCCCTTCATCGGGGGCGGCTTCAGGGGAGGAGCCCCCCGGGGTGCTGAAGCCCCCGCCACCTGGGCCCAGCAGAGCGCGGCCCGTGAATGCGCGCCCCGAGAGGCCGCGCCGGTCGCCTTTGACTGCTGCTTGTCCTTGTCGGGGCAATCGCGGTGCCGGTAACCCTTCTGCGTGCAAATGCCGCGCCTCGTTGCTTCAATGCGCTGCTCGATGGACAGCCCCGGCTGACGGCTGTCTCGCCCTCGACCCTCGCCGCGGGCAATGCCTGCACCCCTGCCCTGCGAGCTGCTGGGGGGGCGAGGAGGAGGGGCGAGTCGAGGAGTCGCCAGAGCCACCCGAACGTCCGCCGCCCAAAATTGCACGGTCGAGCTCGGCAGCGCGCTCGATCTATTTGTTTTGCTTCCACGAGCACCATTATGGGCGCGATGCGATCAGCGCCAGGCCTTCGTCCAATCGGCACCCCGCGAGGTTCAGGTCCTCCAGCTCTGCAAGCAACGCTGCCTCGTCGTCGTCGCCTTCCCCTCCTCCTCCTCCTCCTCCGCCTCCTCCTCCTCCTCCTCCTCCTCCTCCTCGGGATAGCCCTCGTCGAATCCATCGCAATACCCATCAGAAACGTCGACTTCCGACCGGCCATTTGGGAAAGAGGAAGCGGCGAAAGACTGAGCAGCATCGCCGGACTCTTCGGCCTCGGTACCTTTGCTGGCAAGCACGGCGCCCGCGGACCTCCAAGGCAGGAGCTCCTCCGACCCGGTCACGTCCATCCAGCGCGACGCCCACGCTGCATGTTCGAAATCCGGGCGCCCGTGCGTCACTGGCCTCGGCCTCGGTGAGCTGGGACCCCCTGCGACCGACGAATTGTGTGAGGCGCTCCTTGGGACCACGTGCAGTTTCAAACAAAGCCTTTTCGCCATGCGCGTCTCAGTTCATCACCCTCGCAGACCGCTTTTCATGAGGTCCATGCGCGAGAGCAGTGCGTCGAGCCAGGCGTCGCTGGTCAGTGCTCTCTGGCGGGCGTCGCCGAATCGATCCTCCATGTTCCAGCCGAACAGCTTCAGGAACTTTTCGCCCCAGCGCCAATCTGGGACGCCTGTGCTATTTATATATTTCCACAGTGCCTTGCGCCACTGTCTCTAGTGGTTCCATCCTGGCGGCGCCGCGGGGTCTGAGTTGTCGATCGCCATTGCCGGTGCTCCCCCACCACATCTGGTGCCGCAAGCTGCTCTTTCTGCCACGAATGCCACCCCGCTCCGTAAATGTTCCAGGCGTCGGAGGACGGCCAACATCCGTTCCAACACGCATCACTGCCATCATTACTACTATCACTGGCGGGCGCGATCTCTCTGGGTGCTGCTGCTCCCCGATCGCGCGCCTGCTGCCAAGGGTCGTCCGATGTCATCTTCCTATCCTGGTTGCCGCTGGCCTTCGCCGAGCGGGCCTCAGTGGTGGCAGCTCCCCGGGACGCATGCACAGTCTCTTGGACAACTCCCGCCACGAGGTGTCTCAGCTGCTGGGGCGAGACCATCATCGTCGAAGGAGCGGCCGAGCCTGATCATGGTGGCTCTCCTCCGGCGCTGGCTGCAAAATCTGCGCCGGTGTCTGCGCCTTCGAACCCGCATCAATCTCCTGTGCCCGGTTTGCCCTCCAGTTCTGCCAAAATGTGCCGTGGAGCGCGCCACAATCAGGACCCAGCCGTCCGCCGGCCGGAGGCTCGCGAGCGGCGACCGACCTGAGCCGTCACGGCTGCTCCTCTCCCCCCATGGCCGCCTGGCCTGGCCACGGCTCCGCTACCAACTGTAGAAGCAGCAGCAGCAGCAGCAGCAGCCCTCGCAGATGTCTCTCACTTGAGCCAAAGTGTCGATCACGGCAGCATGTAGACACTCTTCTGGCTAAACCTGATGGTGGAAAATCCACCGACTCTGTCGGCGTTTGTGAGGGGCTTTTCCGTTTGAGTCGTCGTCATCGTCGTCGCTCCCCTTCTGCCTGCGCCACCCTGGGCCCTCCCCCATCAAGCGCCACAGCCCGAAGGAAATCGAGCAACGTCGTAGTGGAGTAACGTCGTAATCGAATCGAAGGGAAGCCCCTTGCCTTTGATTTCTTCCCCGTCGGGGGGGGGTCCTGGGTCAGATACGCATTCGCCCATTGGCGTTCCGCGGCTCCCCTGGGGGTCTCGGGGCCGCAAACAAACACCAAGACAGGCCACGAGTGCCCCATGAGGCCACCGAAACGGGCCAAGACGGCCCGAATCGCCAAACGATCTATCCAAAACGCATTCACGCCCTCCAGACTGCCCAGGCGGTCCCCGAAACGGGCCAAGACGGCCAAAATCGCCAAACGATCTATCCAAAACGCACTCACGCCCTCCAGACTGCCCAAGAGACCTCGAAAACGCCCCAAGAGGCGTCCAACGGCACTCCCGAGAGGCCCCAAGAGGCAAAATTCATTGATTATCCTTAGGTGTTTGAAAATGGTTTGGGCGTTGACGCCTTTTCCGCTTCCCGCCGCTCAAGACGGCCGATGAGATCCTGAAAATCGGCAAAAAAATGCCCAAGAGGATTCCGAGAGCGCTCCAAAACAGCCAAAGAGGATCCCAAGACAGCCCAGAACGCGTCCAAGACATCCCAAGAGGCCCCCAAGACGGCTCCAAGACGTGCCAAGACGAGAGACCCGAACGGACATTTCGAGCCCTCGGCCCCGAGAGGCTCCCAGGAGGCCCCAAGAGGTTCCCGAGATAGCCCACGAGGCCCACAAAAAGGCACCCAGGAAGCCCGAAGATGCCCCCAAGAGGCTTCCAAGAGGCCCTAAAAAGCCAACAGACCCAATAAATCCTCCTCGCAGGCCCTGGAGAGCCTTCCCAAGAGACCCCTAGAAACATCCCTGAGGACTCTGGCCCACGTCAGCGTCGTCGTCGCCGCCGCCGCCGCCGCAACCAACGGCACCGACCGTAAGGCCTTCGCAATCTGCTCACAGGCGTCACAGCAGCATCGACGAGGGCGGCAGCGACGGCGGCGGCGGCGGCGAGACACAGGCGGCGGCGGCGAGGGGCGGGGAGAGGAGCGGCGACTTGGAGGCCATGGCGTCGCAGTTGCTGCCGAGCGTGACCGTCAGGGGGTGGTTCTCCCCGAGATGCCTGTCGCGCGGGAGGGGTGGCGGGGGGGGCGGGGTGCGGGCGGAGGTTCGAGCGGGCACCCTCCACCGTCTCCTGACCCAAGTCAGGTCAGTGTGGTGTGTGTTTGGCACCCTGGCCAACTATGCATGGACATGTGCCAGGCACGAGCATGAATGCATACGTGCACACACATACACACGTTCATACGTGCATGAATGCAGACATAAACATATGCACACATGCATACATGCATTCGTGCATGCATGTGACTACATGTATGTAGATGTGTGTGTGTGTGCATGCGCACGGACTCTACATATACATGTGTGCGCATATGTATGTATGTGTTGCAGCCCATTGCTCCACCCGCCACGCCTCCCCCCTCAAACCTTCCACCCTCTCCCTCTCCCTCCTCCCCCTCCTTCCCCCTGGGAGGCCAGAGGCAGGGCAAATACGGAAGGGGGGAGGGAAACGGGAATGGAGGAGGGGGGGGGGGGGGGGGGGAAAACAGGAGGGGAGGATTCGGTCGAAGGGGGGCAGGGGGACTAAGGGGAGAAGGATGGAGCGGACGATGTAAGGAGGAGGGAGAAAAACACGTGCAAATGTATATATTTATATATATGTATTTACGCATACGTATTTGTATGTACTGAGAGACAGCGTGCAGGTGCAACAAGCAACACGGTTTATGTGTATACATATGTACGTGTATATATGTACTAGAACCACGCGCGCGCTTCGCGCGCGCTGAGGCTCTAGTCACACTTGCGCCCACTCTTGACATTGGCAATGCCGCCACGGCTACGACTTCTTTTCGCGCCATCACCGCGTTCACGATCACTTCCCATTCCGTGTCCATTGTGGGCATGACCACCTTTTCCACGACGATTGCACTTTCCGCGGCCATTGTAACGGCCATGCGTTCAATCTCCACCTGCACCACCACCAATACCACTACCATTGCCACTGCCACTGCCGCGACCACCACGACCACCATCACCACCACGGCCAGTGCCACCGCGTCTACCATCGTAATCATCAGTAGCACTACAATCGGCGCACGAACTGCAATCATTTCCACCTGGACCCCGTCCGGGGCTGTCCTGGGTGAGGAGAGAAAGGTCGGCACGCCCGCCCGGGAGTCGGGTTGCCACCATCCTTTTTTTGGTGGGCCCGGGGCCGGTTCAGGGGCACCGGTGGCCGAAAACGGCCCCCCCTGAGAGTCTCGCGTGCCGGATCTCGGACCGGCAGGGGCCGGGGGAGGTGTAAGGAAGCGGTAGTATTCCGACGTAACATCTTTATCTGATGTTCGTGACATTTGTTATATAAACATACATAATTAGCACGCACGTAATATTTAAGTACGGATCAGCACGTTGAAATGTACTTCGCAATACATGCATAAAAATTAACACGCGCCGAACAATGATTCGACACGTCAGAAGGACAGGTTTGGGAGGGAAATGACATCATAACGTTTTTCCTAATAGTGCGCACGTTGCGCGGGAATGCGGCACCAGATGCCGAGGCAGCCAACGGCATATAGCTGTGGATGTAAGCTAGATGGCGCAATGATGTACGAACCAGCGTATATTGTTATGTACAGCATTAGTCGTGGCATCATTTTGCCATCAGAGTTCTACGATTAACTCAACGAGTGGATTAGTTACTTCCTTTGATGAACTATTGTTATTATTGAGACACCTTAGCATTTTTGAACACACGGGGCTATTTCCTGCGTTCTGTAATATAATTTCCGCTTGAGAACTTCGGCTCCTGCTCAAGATATCCTTATGAATCTGAGCATGCGAAAATGATTGTAGTCGACGTCGTCGCCGACGTCGTCGTCGAACACGTTTTTATAGTTCGGTGTTGTGCTTGTTATAGTTGTGTTTGTCTTGTGTTTTTGAACTGCAGGACGTTGGCCCCCCCATAGGGAAAGTCGTGTCGCGGTTCCAGGCGGCAGGCACGGGGCGCCCGCAAAGCTTGCACTGCCGTGAAAGCGGCGACGCTTGCTCACTGTACACGCAAGCGTCGGTGTTGCCAGTTGCCAGATTACTGTGCTCTAGATTCTAGATCGCGCTGTTCGGCGCGCGCGTGGCGCTGCGCGGAGTCCTGTCCGATGGCGAGGCTGGCGACTCCACGAGAAAACACTCATCTGCTGATGCTGTCGACCGCTGGGCTGAGAACCCCCCCCCCCACTTTGACGGGTCCTTCGCCTTCCAGACGCAGGGGGCCCAGCTCTCTGGGTTGTTCGGGTCCCACGGGATAGGTGGTTCCTTGGTAGCTTCAGTCGTGTAGTCGATCCACCCTTGAGGGTTCTTGACCCGCCAGCCGTATGGGGCCAACGTTTTCTCGTCAGTTGGGTCCCACCAGTGAAGGGAACGTGGGTTCATCGCACGCTTGTTGTAGTCCAAGTTCTCGTCCTCCTGCGACATCGCGAAGTCGCGCTCCATGCCGAAGGGCCCCGACATCGATGCGTTGTCTTGCAGCACCGCCTTGGCGCAGCTGATGTGGCCGATGGCATTGTTGATCGTCTCGAGCTGCATCTGCATCATCGTGATGTTGGTGTTCAGCGACATGCGCTTCGCTGGGGTGCCGCACCGTTCCGCCTCGCCGCGGGCAATGCTCATGACGAGTGATCGTTGATGCTCCTCCAGCAACTCGTGTCCTGCCTGGAATGATTCCATTGCAGCGTTCACCGCGCCCTTGCGGCTCTTCAAGATCTGCTGCGACTGGTGGATGCGGTAGTCGTCTGATCCGATCTCCTGCGCCCGCGGCCGACCTCTGCACTCCGTGGCCGAGCGATCCACGGATGTCGGCCTGCGGCGCTGCGCCTGGGAAGTGGCGCCCTAGGCTGCGCTCGAAAGTTCGAGCCGAGACTGGCAACGGAGCGAAGGGCAGACTGCAGCCCTGACGCTTCTTGAGTCCTAAGACATTGAACAACCACCACCGGCCCCCTGGGCGCAGGTGGTTTAGGGAGCTTCCTCTTCCAACCACAGTCCCCCCCTTCGGGAGGGGGGGGGGGGGGGGGGGCGCTGCCCCGCCCCCTTTCCTGGACACGGAGGTGAACGGGGGGGGGGAGGGGGGGGGGGGTGGGGGGGGGGGGGGGGGGGGGGGGTCAGGGCGCCCCAATGAGGCATCCGTTTTATGAAGGTGGTGGCCACGCGTTGGCCTCTTTTGGGGGATGCAATGCGAATTGCGACCGCCGCCGCATTTGACCGATGTCCTCCAACATGGCCCCAAGAAGCGCCCATGAGGCTCCAAGGGGCCCCGCCAGCGCCCCGCGATGGCCCGAAGGCCCCCATCGCCAAGGTGGCCCCGCGCTGCACGAAGAGCACCCACCCCATTCCCCACGGCACCCAAGCCGCCCACGGGCACCCCAGGACCGCCACGACACGCCCAATAAGACGCACCAAGAGGCCACCAAGAAGCGCGGCACCACAAGAGGCTCCGATGGGCATCCACGAGACGAGACTTGGTGCCTGTTGAGCGCCAGTCTCCTCCAGCACCGCATTCATCCTCATACTCATGCCCCCCCCACCCCCCCCGCCCCCCTCCGCGGCCTCATCCTCGTCATCCTCATCTTTCTCCTCGCCCCCATCATCAGCATCATATTCGTCATCCATGCCCCCACTCATCCATCCATGCATCTAAGCTCACCCTGGCTCCTCCTCCTACCTTCTGCGCGCGGATCGGTCGGCCCATGCGTGCCCCCGCACTTCGTTGGTCACCTCGACTTGCCTGGGAGTCGTTTCTGGATGAGCTGGTGGGGATGCACGGAGCGCCCAGACTTTCAACGGGTTTCATTGGTTTCGCATGAGCTGTGCAACCGGTGTGTCGGTTATTGCGTGCAGTTGCTAGCTCAGAGACTACGAAAATGCACGCATGCGATTACACATAGCGTTTAACATGCACGCCATGCACATGCTGTAGTGTTACACTTGCCCCAGCTCATCGCAGCGTCAAACATGATTACTTTTCAGAACGGACGCGTTACAATAAAATTGCGTCGTTGTTTCGGTTCGAGGCGATGTATGTTTGGAGGGCGACCCGAGGATAATGATGACGTGTTGCGATGGGCAGGCGCAGTACATCGTTGGATGATGATGGTGATGATGTGGAGGAGGTGGGCGGATGCATCGCCGATTGGCCCACGGGATGTTGTTGCTTGTTGCGCAGGGGGATGGGGCAAGGATGCGGATGAGGTATGGACATTACTAGAACTAAGCTAGCGTTGGGGGGCGAGGGCGACGATGAGGAGGTGGAGGATTGATGCACCATTGGCTTACTGCAACTCCTGAGCTCAAATAGCTCGAGCGCAACATCATCTTCAACATGACAATCATATTCTGAACCCTCTATCTCGACAGGGCCGTCTGGCGGCCACGTCGGCACAGCGCTGCAAACGGCTCTCAATGTTAGTTCAGCTAGCCCGTGAGCGAATCCAGTCGGACTGGGCATATGGTCCTGCGGGTGCGCGCTGATCTCACCGCTCGCCGACTCTGCGGCCAACCGCCCTCACCCCCGCGCCTAGCGTTTACGCCAAACAACTAAACAGGAGGCCCCAAACAGGCCCCATGAGCTGCATCCACCCCTTGATTTTACCACGCTGGAAATCATGAGCCCGCCAGGTTTCCACACCCGAAAGCCCGATGAACCAGCAGCCGCGGTGCTGGATGCCATCTGTGGCCTCGAGTCGACGAGCGTGGAGATGACGGCATCTGGCAGGTTCGTGACAATGCCTATCTCCACGAGGCTGGCACGACCAAACTCCGCCTGGTGAGTTGTCAAAAGTCGTGCGCCAACCATGTCAAGAACCCGCTTGGTTGGTGGTTATTCGTTAAACTTGGACTCGGACGACTGCGCGATTATGAAATACACGCCCCTAGTGTGTGCGATCCACGAGAGCACCGCAACTGCGCAAGCAATGGTGTCCGTGATCTTTGCACGTGCATCACCAGTCGAAGCATGAATATTGACATGTCGACCTGCAGTGAACCACTTGGGAGTACTCCATC